CAAAACGCGACGGCCAAATTCATTTGAAACTCCTTATATTTCAAAATTTTAAAACTTTTCATTTGTAACAAAATATATAAAGAATGTACAATTTTTTTATGAATACAGTATATTTTTGTGAAATAAATTAAGCATTAATTTTATATCTTTTCTTTATAATTTTATTCAAATTTACATTTACTTCAATTATGAAAGTAATCTTATGATTCAATAGAAAAAAATGTTACAAATTGCTTAGAAATGTATCAAGTATAATTTTTCATAATTACGTTTATATTCTGTGATATAAACCAGAATTACAGTAAATAATAATCTTTATAATAAATTACTGTTGAGTGAATGCGATGTGATTTAATGATTGTTTACTTTATATGATTGCAACATATATTTCATATGGTTATGGATTTTATTTGCAAAACAACAATAAGAAAATGAATTGAGTTAAAAATAGAGGATTAAAATTAATGATAAAATTTCAAAAGCTATAAATTGTGGTCTATATTGGGGTAAAAGTAAATTGTATTTCTCTATTGGGTTTCATTTAAAACCATTCGTTTATCATAAAAGCCATTAAAATAGTCGTCCTTTTAGATCATTTCGATGCAAATATACGTCTCTTTTGTTTGTGATTTTATTTCATATCAAACCTCAACCAACAAAACCGTCGGAATATTTTTTTGTTGACAAATCTATGATTTACTAAAATTACTGTCTTTTTAATTCTTTAATTCAATAGAAATGAATAAATTTATTATATTTTCTTTGATTTACTTTGAATAATGTATTTCTTATTAAAATGAAAGTGTTTTCGTATTCTCAATGAATACCAATAATTTTTATGCAAATAAGAAAAGTATTTAAATATTCAAACCCTATAATAGGACATAATGTCGATTATATTTATATTTAATCAACTTTTTTATTAACTAAGGAATTGTGGAGACAATTGAAAAAATATTTGACCACATTAATTAATATTTAAATTAAATTATTATTCATTTTGCCTATTGTCTTTTCAATAGTGTCATTGGTTAGCCATGTCTTCGGTATGCTATAAGTAAGTAATACAGTGTATATACATTACAATGATATGAATTTATAGATATATTGTTGTTAACAAATCAATTCTCAATCCAACAGTCCGTTTGTCTACTTCTGGCTCAACGATAACTTTAGAAACGATACAAAAAACATAATTAAATTCCTGTTAGGAATGAAATCAGAATCATTGGAGACAATCGATAACCAAATGAATACAATAGACATCTCCTGTTTCTATCAAAACAATATCACTAACACTACAAACCTGTAAAAACAGAGACAACTCTTTCAACACATCTTTCTTACATTGTCTGTACAAAACAGTTTGTTTTTATGTATTCATTACATGATATATAGTATATGTATTGTTCTTATAGAGAAAGTCATTTAAGTTTTAATTAAGACTGCATTACAAATGAATCAATATATAATTTGTTACATTAATTAACATTATACAATCTGCCGTCGATATAAGGGACACCATTTTAGCAGCTTAAACGAGTTCCTTATATTGAGGGCAGATTGTACTTAATAATGTTGCTTATAATCACACATTTCTTGTTATTTGTGACACACATTAGCAGAAAAACAAAATTGTTTTAATTAAAAATATCATATTTCATTATTTCATAATATGTAAATTATGTGTAATTAATTATTATTGTTAATTTACTATTAATTTAATGCCGATAATAAGGCACACACTTATTATATATGTAAAATAAAATACATTTTAGTTATTTATAATTTATTTTGGTTAATCATAATCTGATGTAAACATTTCATATAAAACATTTACGTCAGTAATATATAAATTAACAGAATTATAAATATTTATTGTAAAATGGATTAAAATATTCATGTATTAATTATGCCTTTTGTAATCCCGTGTTATTCAGTGATTTGAAATTCAAATAAATAACAATTGGAAAAATTTGAAGTAATATTTACTGAAAATGTATATTAAATATAAAAAAATACATTTTTGCATAAAAAATACATTAAAAAATTAATTTAAAAAGATTACAAATTGAAGTATAAATATATTTGTAAACAAAAAGAGTTGTTGTAAATACAGAATCGTATGCCATATACTTATACCTTATACCTTATACCTTAAATAAACACTATTCATAATAAGAATCGACAAATAAAACCTGTCATACATTTTAGTGCTATTATAACAGTTAAAAAGTTAGTATTAATGCTCTTATTTGTGACTTACATTCAGTTTGGATTCCTTTAAATAAATTACATTTATGTTCTCTCTCTCTCTCTCTCTCT